CCCTCTTCGTGCCCTCTTGGGAGTGCTCTTGGAGACTTCTTGGAGCGTCTTGGCAATCTCTTGGGCCGTCTGGAGGCTACTTTGGCGTCTTCGACCGATGGTTCGGCGATTCGGGGCCCTCTGGAGCCGTCTTGGAAGCCTCTTGGGGCACTCTTGGCCAGTCTGGGGGCTTTTCTAGGTCCCGGGACATCCCGGGGGGGATGCGTATCTGCCCCCCCCCCCCCCCGGGACCCCCCCCCCCCCCCCCCCGGCGGGGAAGGGATCAAAGGGAAGGGGCTTCCCTTCGACTCAGCTACGACGTTGCTCAATTTCGCTTTGCCTTCGACTCAGCTACGACGTTGCTCGATTTCGCTTTGGTTTCGCTTTGGCTGGCGCGCCTGAGGGGAGGGCGACGACGACGACGACGACGACGACGACGAACGGAAGAGCATCGACGACGACGACGACGACGACGACGACGACGACGACGACGACGACGACGGCGACGACGACGACGACGACGACGACGACGACGGCGGCGACGACGACGACGTTCACGACGAACGAAAAAGCATCTTCCACACGCCGACAGGGTCGGCGAATTTCTGGGATGTGGTCCTTAAGTCCGATGGGAGCAACATAAATCAAGGGAGGGAAAAACACCCGGACCCGATAATAGGCGTTTACGAAACCGCTCTGTGCGTTTACCAAGCAGCCTTGCCTTCTTCGATTCCTTCCGTGGGGACGTTCACTATAAAAGGCTTCGCGTGTCGGGGTGATTATATGGGGGCGCTTTTTCTGCCTTCTACAAAATGCCGTTCCCGCTACAGTGCTGGCCTCCTCTGAGCACTGCCAGTCCTTAGAAACAGTTCTCCCGCTGCAACGTGGGCCTCATTTTAGGATCGACGCGTGGCTCCCGTCGCGTAGGATGGCGTTCTCGCCCCAGCGCGGGCTGCCCGCTTTTCTGGATCCGAAAGGTTCCTCGTTGTCGTCCCGCTCCTTTCCCCTCTGGCGGAGGAGTCCTCCGCCTTCCCCAGGTCTTCCCGCTCGTCCCACTCCATCTCCTGCAGCTGCTGCTCGTCCTCGTCATCCTCTTTCATCATCCTCCTTTGTTCCTCCTGCTCATCCGCCACTTCCTTTCCCAATGTGCGCAGCTCCTTTTTTTCGGACTGCACAGAACCCGATGGGGTCGCTTGGGGGGGATTCCAGGTCTGCTATGACATTCGTCGGCGGACAGGGACAAAGTCAGCGCAATTGGGAAGTCGGTTGGAGGGATAGGATGTCAGATCTGACGCGAGCGCATCTAGCTAGTCCTCTTCCTCCTTCCCCATCTCCTCCAACTCCTCAGGTTTTCTCCTCCTCATCCTCACATTCCTCCTACCCCGCCTTCTCTTCCTCCTCCTCCTCCTCCTCCTCCTCCTCCTCCTCCTCCTCCTCCCCCTCCTCCTCCCTGTCCTCCTCCTCAGTCTCCTTCACTTGCCAGCCATGCCCCCAGATCTCCGACGATACGATGTCTTCCATCCCCTCGTTTTTCCCTGGTTTCGACCTTCGGGGGGGGGGCTGTTTTCGGGCCCCGTGACCATCAAACATGCATCTGGGACGAAAACTACCCCCTTAAGAAACGGTCGCGACCTTTAGGGCCGCGGATTGAAAAATACGGATCGGCGGATGTTTGGGTTTGCGATGTTTTTTCGTCCAGTGTGCAAGGTTTCGTCGAATGTGTGTGTTTGGCTTTGTGCTCGGCTGCAGCGGCGTGCCCGTCTGGTCACGACAAAGGCAGCGCATCTGTGCGAATCAGAAATGGTGATGGCCAACAGAAGGCTGCGCCCACTCGAGATCGACATCGAGTGCCAGGGTGTGCCAGAATTGACAGGCCAACCTTTGGCTGGGCCAGCAGGCGCTCAAGGACGCCGTGCCCAGATGCACGGTGGTTTTGTCAAGTGGCCAGCCAGGGTATGTCGGATCGGCCCAGCAGTCTGGATTGGGCCCCTCCTCTGCCTGCCAGGAGGGCCTTGCCAGCGTGGGTAGATCCTCTCCCTCTTATTGTCCTCCCCATATCGTCTCACCTTCCTCCGCCCTCCTCACCTTGAAGGAGGAACGACACCTTGTCGGAGGTGCGCGCAGATTTCTTGGATCGGCGCTGGGCCCCGCTGGCGGCGCTTGGCCCCGCGTTCCAGGGAGGGGGTCCAGCGCCGATCCGAGAAAGCCGCGCGAGCCCCCCTTCCTCCTCCCTCCTCCTCCTCCTTCTCCTCCTCCGTTTCCTCCTCCTCCTCCGCCTCCTCCTCCTCCTCCTCTTCCTCCGATTCCTCCGACTCCTCCATTCCTTTTCTTTCTGAATAACTCCTCCTGTGGCACCCCGAGGCCAGTCGAAAGGGCGGGCCGGGCGTTTCGCCTAAGATCTCTTAACCGTTTCTGACCTTGAAGTTTAAAATGTGGTAACAGGTTCACCGATGCAGGACGGGCCGTTTCCAAAATGTTGTTCTCGCTTCAGCGCCGCGCACATTCGGTTTTCAAATTGTTTGCCAGGGCTTCGCGGATTGAGGGCGAGGGGTATCCCAAATGTGGTTTGCGCATTACCGCCGCGCACATTCGTTGTTTTAAAATGCAAGGGTTTCAGGGATTGAGGACATGTCGTTTTCAAAATTTGGATCTTGCTTTAGCGCCGCGCACATTCGGATTTTTTGTTCCTGACCATCCTGTGGTGTTGGGTCCTCGTTTTGAAGAGACGGTCCCCGCGTTCCTCTCCTCTCCTCTCCTCTCCTCCTCCCCCCCCTCTCCCTCCTCCCGTCACCCCCCTCACTTTGGCACACCCCTCTCACGTTTCGTGGCCCCACAGGGAGCCCCACCGAAGGCCCAAATGCCAGCGTTCGCATGCGGCTACCGCACCCATTTTGGCACACCCTTTCCACGTTTCGTGGCCCCAAAGGGAGCCCCATCGAAGGCCCAAATGCCAATGTTCGCATGCGGCCACCGTACCCATTTTGGCACACCCCTCACACGTTTCGTGGCCCCACAGGGAGCCCCACCGAAGGCCCAAATGCCAGCGTTCGCATGCGGCTACCGCATCCATTTTTACACACCCCTCACACGATTCGGGGCCCCACAGGGAGCCTCACCGAAGGCCCAAATGCCAGCGTTCGCATGCGGCCACCGCACCCATTTTGGCACACCCCTCCCACGTTTCGTGGCCCCACAGGAAGCTCCGCCGAAGGCCCAAATGCCAGCGCTCGCATTCGCCCACCGCACCCATTTTGGCACACCATTCACGCGCTTCGTGGCCCCACAGAGAGCCCCACCGAAGGCCCAAATGCCAGCGTTCGCACGCGGCCATCGCACCCATTTTGGCACACCCCTCACACATTTGGTAGCCCCATAGGGAGCTCCTCCGCATGCATACAACGAATGTATTCACAACTGCATATGGTTGCGTCCGTCGCCAGGTTAATTACTGCAAGAATTTCACGGATTGAGGGCGGTCCTTTTTCAAAGTGTAGTTCTGGCGCTAGCGCCGCACGCCTTCGTTGTCAAAAAGGCAAGAGTTCCACGGAGTCCCATGGTTAGCGTGCCAGATAGAGAGTTTTGAAACGGTTCAGGATTGTCAGGGCGCAACAGTTGATTACATTGAGTCGCGGTGTCGAAATGGTGCTCTGGCACGGTTCAGGACTGTCAAAACGCAACAGTCAGGTTGATTCGTGGCATTGAAGTCCCGGGAACAGTGTCTGGCACGCCTCAGGATCTTCAAAAAGTTCTCTCCCAACGGGGCATCTCCCCCAGTGGAAATGAATCCGTGTACGGGCCTGAAGAGGGAGATTGGAGGGAGAGTTGATCCCAGCATCGTTGATGAGTCTTGTGTGCAGCGAGGGCTTCCAGCGGTCGCTGTCTCTCCGGGGGCGGCCAGGAGGGGGGGGGTGATAAGGGGGGGGGATATCCTGGCGGGGGCCATGGTATCTCCCCAGATTTCATGGCGCCTCTTCTCATTTCATCACGTCCCTTGCCCCCTCCCCCCCTGGGCCGCGCACATGCCGCCGGCCACTGGGCCGCCCCCGATGTTTCTGGGAGGGCGCCCCTCAGCTGACAGTGGAGGCCCATGCCAAGAAAAACTTCTGCTTGTCTCCAGGGTGCCATGAGTCTCTTGGATTTCCTCGGTTTTGCGATGGGAAGCGCGACAATCCCATACCAAAAACCAATAGAGGTCCTGGGGTCTCAGGGCTGGGTTTCTTGTGGGAGGTTTCTTGTGGTCGGGCCCCACTCAACTGTACGGGAATTCATCCTCTTCGTCCTCGTCCTTCCCCTCGCCACGGAGCGCGCGAGAGATTCAGATCCCCGACGTCTCGAGGAGCGAACTGCGGAGGCTGTCCGCCAGTTTGTGGCCCCAGGGGGCCCTGACCAGGCCCCAGGGGCTGTCAGGAAGCGACTCGCGAGGAAGAGCTGGCCACGGGGAGAGGATCCAGACCTCCAGGAGCCCCGCGGCAGTTGCTTCTGGGAGGGCCCCTCTCGGGTTGCAGTCAAGACGCTGCCGCGAGGACCTCTGCGAGGGCTCGGGAGGGGCTCTGGTTTGGGGGGGCCGCTCTTCAGATCTTGGTCGGGAAGCCTATTCGTGACCGAGGCTCGCAGTGGCCAGGGAAGCCCCTTCATGTTTCATGCACTGCTCATGATGGCAGCTCGATGACTGCACTGGCATTCATCCTCTTCGTCCTCCTCCTCCCCGTCGCCACGGGCACACGTGATAGGTCGAAGAACAAAGCATGCATAGACGTAAACGTTCAGAGTTCCACGCGGATTTCTTGGATCGGCGCTGGGCCACCCTGGCGGCGCCTCCAGCGCCGCCCTTGGCGTGCTCCGGGCGCCAGGGAGGGAGTCCAGCGCCAATCCAAGAAATCCGCGCAGAGCTCCGAAAGCTTGTGTTTATGCTGGTTGGTGTTTTCTAATGACTGAGCATCACAACCAGGCGAACGGTTCGTCTGGGTATGATTGAAAACTCGCGGGCTCATTTTCCAGCATCTTCGGGCCCGTCCATCCGCAGCCGTTTTGGCTCATTTTTCAGCGTCTTCGGCTCCGCGCCGGCCTAGCACGAGGCGCTGCAGAGTCGCCAATGCCATGGATCGGCGAGTGCTGTCCGTTGAACACGGGGCGTCGCTCCCCGATGCCGAGGCGGCCCGCAGCTTGCTGGACCGCGTGCGGCGCAACGCCGAGGCAGTGCTGCAGGCCCGAGGTTGGCGCGTTGGCGCGCTGGTGGAATTGTGCTGCTGCAAGCTCGCGCCTGAGACCAGCCGGGGTGGTGTTGCGGGGTGGTGCATGCCCGAGGGCGACAGCGCCACGGCGAAGCGCATCGCGCTGCGGCTCCGGAGCCCGAAAGGCGAAGGTCATGGCCTCCTGGACTTCGAGTGCGTCTTCGACACCATGCTGCACGAGATAGCGCACATCGTGCACTCGAGGCACACCGCAGGGTTCTACCAGCTCTGGGACGAGCTCCGCGCCGAGTGGGGGAGGCTGGCCCTTGCCGGGCGCGTGCTGGACGAGGGGGGCTTCCCGACCGTCGGCGGCCAGCGCACGGGGGAGGGCACCCACAACCCCCCAAGCGTGGCGGCTGGTCGGGCCAGGGCGCTGGCAGCAGCGGAGGCGCGGGCCAAGGTCTCCGCGCTGATGGGCTCGGGGCGCCTCGGCGGCGCCGCGGGGTGGGAGGCGCTGGCGCCGCGCGAGCGCGCGGCGCTGGCGGCGGAGCGCCGCCTCGCCGACCAGGCGCGCGGGCTCGGGGACGACGAGCTGCCAGAGGCCCAGGAGGCGCCGCCCGCGGCGGCGCAGCCGCCCGCGGCGGCCGCCACCGCGCGCGCGGGTCGGCCGCCCGCGGCCGCGCCGCCTCCCTCTGCGGCCGGGGGGGGCGCCTCGGGAAACCGCGGTTTCAACCTTGAGCGCCCTTTGCGCCCTGCCCCCCTTGACCGCGCCTCGCGGCCAGGGGGGGTGCGCTTCAGGACGCAACGGGGGGATGCCCGAGGAGACAAGAGAGAGAGAGAGAGAGACAGAGAGTGGAAACTCGAGCGGAAACCAGGAGAACCAACCAACCTCCTCGCTCCTCGCTCTGCGGCCCCCTAAAACGCCCCCTGGGCGCCCCCCCTTGACCGCGTCTCGCGGCGGCGCGCGCGGGCTCGGTGCGGCCGCCCACAGCCCCCGCGGCACCGCCCGCGGGAGCAGCCGACCGCGCGCACGGCGGCGGCGTCGGGCCGGCCAAGCGCCCTCGGGTGTGCCCGCCCTGTGGCCGCGGGGGGCCCTGCTGCGGGCCCAGCGGCTGCGAGGGCGCTGTGGCCCTGGAGGCGGAGGGCGGGGGCGGCGCGGAGCTGCGCCGAGCCCTGGAGCTGTCCAGGGCTTCCGCGGAGGAGGAGGAGAGGGACGTCCTGCGGGCTGTCTTGGCAGCCTCGCTGGCAGCGGTGCAGCGGCCCACGGAGGTGGTCGTCCTCAGCGACGGGGAGGATTGAGGCGGGGCAGCGGCCACCTGCAGAAGGCGCGAGAAAGGGTGTCATCGCGCCGTCTGCAGGTGTCAGTCACACGTGCACTTTACAGTGTGCTTGTACGTGTGTTGCTCTTGATGCTGTGTGTGCGCGCATTGAAGTTGAATCGTCGGAAGACAACACGTGGCAACACCCAAAACACCTCACACGCTCCGTCTCTTTCGCTATGAAAACAGATCAGGGTGCGATGGCGGTCGGCCGGACCATAAACGCACAGAAGCAACCTCGCGAGCGCCGCATTCTCGAACTATCGGAGAACGTACGTTGAGCTGTATGGCAACGGCACACCATTGGCAATGGCAGACCATCGGAGAATGTACGTTGAGCGGTATGGAAACAGTCGCATGCCGTACGACGCTCAGGTGAGGTGTGCTGGCAACTCTTGGCCACGGTTCCGCCGCTCCCTGGACGTGCCCCGCAGGGCCCATGGAAACAGTCGGTTGCCGTAAGACGCTCAATTACGTTGGCAACGTTTGGCCACGGTGCCGCCGCTGAGTCACACAGCGGTACAAGAGGGACGTTACACGCATCGGCACCCAGGATGCACCTGTCGCATTCGAAGTCCATGATCGCGAGGACGGCCCGTGAAACGCAAGTCGCGCCCATCGTTGTGCGGAATTAGTCAGGCCGCAACACACGTTTCGTACTTCCTGGCTGGATGATCCAACGCAGCGAGTCCTAGGGCGGGTTGTTTCTAGATTGCTGGGGAGCACACACAGACACACACGCACACACACACACAGACACACACACACACACACACGCGCACACACACACACACAAAGACACACACAGACACATACACACAAACACACACACACATACACACATACACACACACACACACACACACACACACGCACAAGCATACGCATACGCATACGCACACGCATACGCATACGCGTACGCGCGCGGACGCACATGCCTGATCGCACGCGGCTGGGGAATGAATCCACACGGGCGCCTAGAGGTCGGGCACCCCCGAGCCCCGGAGTTGCCGAAGCTGCAGGCGGCGTGGAGCGCAGGACGCGACGAGGGCCAGCCTGGCCGACCCCTCGCGCAGCGCGGGGCGGCGGAGGAGTCCTGGGCGGCGAGCGCAGGCTGGCCGGCCCCGCGGCCCAGAGCGCAGAGCACGCACGCTTCTGGCGATCTCGGCCTCGCGCGCAGGGACGAGGCTAAAGTCGGGCATGTCCCTCTATAGGACGATGTTTACGATTTTTGAGTAGTTTCGAATATGTCCTGAGTATTTTCATTTTTTCCTCTAAACTTCCGCTGTAGGGGGACATGCCCGACCTAAGACGAGGCGGCCCACTTGGATCACCGCGGGGGTTGCTAAGGGGATATGGTGGCTAGAAGTGTATGCTAAGGTGGGTTATGTCTGCCCCATCCTAGGTTATAAACGGGTTACAAGTGCCCTGTAGGCCCCACTTGGATCGCCGCGGGGGGGTGCTAAGGAGATCTGGTGGTTAGAAGTGGATGCTAAGGTGGATCATATCTGCTCGATCCTAGGCTATAGACGGGTTACGGCTGCCCTAGGTGGCCTAGGCCGAGTAGATAACTCCGCTGAGTGGGCTCCGCCCACTTTGCCCGGATCTGTACGCCCTGAAGCCGCTTAGAGCATTCGCCGCCCACCTCTGAGCGAGGTCCGGCCAGAAATGCACCCGACCCTGGCATCCACGTTTGGCCCCCGCATCCCTTCCGCAACCCCCACGGCGATCCCAGCAGGCACCCAAAGAGCGCGTGCGCGGCCGGCCCCGCAGCATTTTGGGGGCAGGGGTCCAAACAGGATCGCGACCATGCCGTGCGCACACCCGGGGCCTGGGCAGCGAGGGCGAGTTGGGCGTTGCGTAGTGGGGGGGTCATATTAATTGAGGGGGGCTGGCGAGGATGGTCCGGAAAGGTACCCAAACGGTGCCTAAACGAGCCCCCTGGGGCTCCGGAGGGGCCCGAAAGGGGCACGAAAGGGGACCGTTTCTGACCCCCCCATGTATGACCCCCCGAGTGAGCCACGCCCAATCCCACACCCCTTCTCCTCCCTCCCTTCCCCGCCCCTCCCCTCCGTCCCTTCCCCTCCCCTCTTCTCCCTGCCCCCCTCCCTCCTCACTCCGTCCCCACTCCCGCCACGGCCGCCAAAGGCAGGGGCCCAGGCAGCGAGGGCGAAGGGGCGGAAGGCAGGCCCGGGGGGGGGGGCGGGCGGGCGCGCCGCGCGGCCAGGGGCAGCGACGGGGGCGACAGGCGAGGTGGGCCCGTCGTGGGTCGGGCATGTCCCTCTGCATGTCCCTCTGCAGGAGGGAGGGGGGGGCGCGCGGGTCACTTTACAACCAGAAGCGCACTTTACAACCAGATGGGTCACTTTACAACCAGCTTACAAAATCAAAGAAGGGCACTTTACAACCAGGAAGGGCACTTTACAATCAGGCAAGTGGAAACACATATTGAATGCACGCGGGCCTTTCCCTGAAAACTCCGCGGGCAAGCGCAATGGTGGCTTTGGGCTCTTTAAGGCATGTTGGTTGTAAAGTTGCCCATCGCGCACGAAGAAGCACTGCGCACGCGTTGGTGATGCGACGACCTGGTGCGCCATGGTATGTTGCGTGCTGGCGGGCGGATTATGGTTTTGACCTGCTCTCTAAGCTCTGTCGGTCAGTTATGCCATTGCTTGCTCTGCCTTTTTCTGCCGGGTGAAGGCTTCTCGCGAGGGACATACGAATAAACCATGATCCTGTCCCAGACTGGAGCTGCATGGCAGTGGGAACTTGTAGTGGGAGATGTGGCGCTAGCGGGGGCTACAATGGGAACTGCATGGTGTTGGGAAGCTGCGGTGGCAACTGTGGTGGTCGCCAGGCAGCGGTGGGAACTGCGGTGGTAGCTGGTCTGCAATGGGATATGTGGTGGCAGCGGGGGGTCAGTCAGAATTGTGGAGGTAGCGGGGCTGCAGCGGTAAGTGCGGTGGTAGCAGGGCTGCAGTGGAAATTGCAGTCGAAGGGGTTCAATACGAGGCCGTTGGTGAAGACCGCGACCGCTGTCTTGAACATGGCGGTGACCGCGGAGGTGGACGCGCCGCAGCAGGTAGACATGGAAGTAAGGCGCGTCAAAGGAGAACGCGCCCAGCGGGAATGGAAACCGACCTCGCCGAAACCGCAGCCGTCGAGCCCCAACCCAGAACATGGAAAGTGCGGAACCTCGCGCGAGACCAAAGGAAAGCGGCAGGCACGACAGGAGGCGGCGAAGCGCCGCCGCTCAGCTGGAGGGCCAGCGCCTTCGGGAGAGAGGGAGGGAGGGAGAGAGGGAAGGAGGAAGAGAGAGAGGGAGGAGGAGGACGGACAGGAGGGGGGGACGGAGAGGAAGAGGAAGGGAAGGAGGATGAGGAAAAGGAGGCGCAGGAGAAGGAGGAGGACGAGGCGCCCCTCCTGCCCGTCCTGTTTTTCCACCTCCTCCTGGTCCTGTTCCTGCTCCTTCCCCTCCTCGCCCCCCCCCCCCCCCCCTCCTCCCCCCCCGCCCCCCCCCCCCCCCCCCTCTTCCTCCTCATCCCGCTCCTCCACCTCCTCATCCTGATCATGTTATCCCTTGGCTTCCCCTGCGCTCTTCCTCGGCCTCCTCCGCCCCCCCCCCCCCATCCCCCTCGTCATCTTTCTCTTTCCGTGGCTGGGATAGGAAGGAGGCCGTCTTCCTCCCCCTCCTCCTTCTCCTCCTCCTCCTCTCATCCTCGTCATCCTCCTCCTCGTCCTCCCCCCCTCCCCCTCCTCCCTCCTCCGCATCCTCCTCCTCCGCATCATCCCCCGCCTTATCCTCAACCTCATCCTCCTCGTCCCGCCCCTCCCCCCCCCCCCCCCCCCCCCCCTCCTCATCCTGATCAGGTTATCCCTTGGTTTCCCCTGCGTTCTTCCTCGGCCTCCTCCGTCTCCGCCTCATCCTCGTCGCCCCCCTCCTGCTGCTACTCCTCCTGCGCGTCCTCCTGCTCGTCCTCCTCCTGCTCCTGCTCGCCGTCGTCGTCGCCGTCCTCCTCCTACTACTCTTCCACCTCCTCCTCCCCCATCCTCTTAGGCTTCCCCATCATTACCGGCTGCACGCCGCAGGGAGGGGTCGGCGCTGCCAGATTACACCGCCGACGCGCGCAGACAGCGCAGGGCAACGAGCCATTCGGTCCTCCATCACCGCGCGCAGACAGCGCAGGGCCACGAGCCATTCGGTCCTCCTGGAGCACTTTTGAGAGCGCCCACTTGCTCTGGAGCATTTTTCAGAGCGCCCACGTGCTTTGGAGCACTATGCGGAACGCCCAAACACGCACGGCCACTCTGAGCTGGTTGTAAAGTGGTCCGTTCTGGTTGTAAAGTGGTCCGTTCTGGTTGTAAAGTGGTCCGTTCTGCTTGTAAAGTGGTCCGCTCTGGTTGTAAAGGGGCCCGTTCTGGTTGTAAAGTGGTCCATTGTGGTTGTAAAGTGGGCCGTTTTGGTTGCAAAATGGACGTCCTCGATGGAAAACCACATTTTCCAATCCTATGTTGGTTGTAAAGTAACCCATCTGGTTGTAAGGTGGTTGTTCTGGTTGTAAAGAGACCGAATCTGGGGGGGGGGGGGAGCAGCCCCGACCATCCCAAAACAGAAAAGTGATTCCCGAGGCATAGTGGGAGCGCTCCCCGAATACAGATCCCAATCCCAAAACATTCCGCGGCCTCTCCTGGGGGCGGGATGACCGAAGAGCACTCCCTGAACACACATACTGTTTGGAGCGTTGTGGGCCCTCTGCAGGTAGCATATTAACTCGGGCATGTTCTTCTACAGGAGGAAACTTCAAAAACAGTTTGTTTCTAGTTGTTCCTTTTTTTTGCTTACGCAAAAAAAAAGTGGGTACGGCGTTTCGATTGTTTTTTTGCCACTCGGGGGCATAGTTTGACTTTTGTTTATTCTTCGCCCCAAACCCGCCCGTATGGGGGACCTGCCCCACCCGAGGCCAGTCCCGGGCG